AAAAAACCTAGGGACAACTGGGATGAATAACTATCCGTACTGTCTAAGGATTTATAGATCAATAAATAGTACAAAGAACTACCTATTTATATCTCACCCAATCAGGATAAGATAGTTACATGACCATCTAGTATAAGTATCTACTTACAAAAACAAACCACAAAAAAATAGGGAATATGAAAATCACACTATATTAATTTTCTATTCTACATCTTGACACTCCCTAAAGCATGACTATTGGTCAGCCTACTGAGCGGCTTATTGCTACCCCAAAAAGAGGGGGCTAATATGCCAAGGATTTACCTGAGGTATTCAACACCACCAATGTTGAGGACTACCTATGTGAAGCCTTAACTCCACTAGTGCTTAACCAAAAATTTTTTTAAAAAAAAAGGGTTGTGTTTGAGTCAGATCTTGTCTGGAGGGACGTGATATTGTCTAACTGGTCATTATAGGTGGTTCCAATGAGCAGATAGGAGTATCAAAACCCTTTAAAAAGATACTGGCCCAAAGTGTGATGGTTGTGTTTGCTGGAGAAAGAATGAGGGAGTCAGGTTGTTGTCTATCCAAGGTAACCTAATCCAGCCTTGTTCTTTTTGTATAGTCAATAATGTCATGGTTTTCATATCCTGTATTCACCTATGCGACTGGCATACAACTTATGGTGGACTCTAGGTTCATATGAGTACTGAGGAAATGTATTCAGACACATGATATGATCAATAGAAGCTTGTTTACATTCTTTTACTGACATGTTTTCTACTGGCCAATCACTGCATGAAAAACTTTGTGCTACTTAAAATTCAGGGTCAAATTGAGGTAGGCAAAATCCCCCAGAAGAATCAAGAAAGAGTACTCTTAGAACCAAAGCATGACAAGAGAGTAGATAGTTGCCTTCAAGATAAGTCTTCCATCATTCGAAAAGCTCTGTACTGTCTCTCTAATAGGTAAGTGGATGGTAGCGCTATAGTTCTTTTTCCTTTCAGAACTTTCTTGTCATTGGTAGAAAAGGTGTTTTATAGTTTTGGTCACTGAAAGTCATATTTTTATTCGAAGAAGATTGTTTATAAGAGAAAGGTGGGTGAGTATGGCTCCTGAAGTTGTTACTTCAGGTTGGTTTAAGGAAAGTGATAAGATTTTGTTAGCCAAGAAGTAGAAAAACTTCTTGCGAACATCTCTTTTAAGTGTGGTCAGAAGATCAGCGGAAAGAGAATGACATGTTGATAATTCTAATAGATAAAGATTAATCCAATTATATTAAGAAATATAATATTGTTTCAAAAATCTAATTTAAAGTACTTCTACTATATATAATAATGTGTTATATACAATATATAACAATGAGTTAATTGTCTTATGAAAATATATAACCTATTGTAGATAATTTCTTGATAAAAATATATCATTGTATTATGATTAGATTAAGATTGCTAATCATATTATATATAGTAATTTTATTATTAATTGATTTTATTAATTATTATTATAATTTTTCTTTTGAAATTTTTAAAATTTAATTCTATTATATGTATAGTCTGGGTTATTTGTTAATACCTTAAATAAAAAGGATCATTGTTTCTCTTAAAATAATAATAATAATAATAATTTAATACTGAATATAAATTTTTTTAATCATAATTTTTTTATTATAAAAACTCTTTCTATTGATCATTTGACTATACACAAAAAAGATGTTTGTAAGAAGTTTTTTCACTTCTTTACTAATAAAGTCTTAATATTTTCATTAAACAACTTGAAGTATGACTTCAAGAGTTGTTTTATATTTTTCCTCTTGTTTATAAACCTCTTTACTCAAAAACTTGACTTCTGGTGATCAAGAAAAGTCAAGCAATACCTTTGATACCAATGGCAATAAAGTTTTCAAAGAAAAAAGAACTAACTGTGAAATGCTTGAAGGCCTTTTCAACTTTTTAAATAAGAGGTTATAAAGATTTTCTATAGTAAAAAGGTTTATTTTCTTCCTTTTTGACTGTTTGTACCCTCTTAGAACTTTCATTTTTATGGTTTTCTGGAAAATTTTGCATACTTCAAGTTGACTCTGAATTTTAGATAATACTAATACTTACCAAAGGTGATTGGTTGACATAAAACATGTTGATTTTTAGAATATAAACAAGCTTATATTGGTCATATACATGTGTTTTGATAATATCATTGATGATTGAAAAGAATATTTTAGAAATGTTTATTTTTTAGAAACTTAAATTCCTTAAGAAAGACATTTATAATACCAAAAAACTAAGAGATGAATAATGTAGATTGCAAATTCCTATCTTTTTCCTAAGCTCCTTGGGTGATGACAAACCTTTAATGAACAAAAGCTGAAGTTTAAATACTTTTCTTAAGATATTTCAATTTGATGTTCACTTAAATGAAAGATCAGTTGGATTGACTTGTTCAATGTTACAAATGATAACAAAGAAAATTTCTTCTGAGGCTCAAGAGAAACAAGAAAATTATTTCAATCAAGTAGATTCCTTTTGAGAGGAGGATTGTTTTCTTTTTGAATTTTTTTGATAAAACCTTGAATTGTTTCCCTTTCTCAATTTTTTTTTTCTTTCCCCTTAACTTAGCAATTCATGGTTTATGGGCAATCTATAGTAACAAACTATTGACGATGAACCTAGTGGCTAGAGATTATTTACCAATCTTCTAGGAAAGTGAAATATTGTTCCCTAGACCTGACTTAGAGTACTTTGGTGCAATGACGAGTTAGTCATTATGTGAAAAATCTGTAATATTGTAGATAGTTATATCAAGCCATGTGACATGGTTGTGGGTTAAAAAAAAAAAACAAGTAAATTTTTTAATCATAAAATAATTTCAATTAGGTTTAAATATTTTTTAAAATCAATAAATAATCAAAATTTTCTTTAATGCGCGTACCTACTGGACATGCATTACGATCTTTGTTTATCACGTAAAACGAGCGTTTTTATTTAAATTAAAATATATTACAAAATAAGCACAATTCACCTAGCAGCAAATATGCATCACATAATATCAAGTTTCGTACGAACTACCCGTTGAACTACGCGCCAACACCAGAGATGGATAGAAGTGATTGAACCAAGGAGACAAAGACAAAGCCAGCACACGTGAACTATTTGAACAATAAATATAAAATTTAATGAGTAACACGTAACAAGTAACACGTAAAAAAAATATAAAAATATTAGTTTATAAAAATTCACTTACGTAAGTGCAATATTTATCTGTGGGGTCATAGTGACGCGCCAACGGAAACAAACCTTTAAAGATGATGTAAAGTAGAAATCCTACAACTATAGAAAAGATGAGTCCTGGGATAATACCATTCCACGAATTTTCGGTGAGGGCATAGCCAATAAGGGCGCCTAGGAACCCTGCAGTCACACCAACAGTTCCAGCAATAGCGAAAGCAATCCAACGCGAATTAGTTGCATAATATATTGGCAGAGAAATAATTAAACCTTCCGGAATTTTGCTAAAAATGAGTTAGTAAATGTTGAGATTACAAGTGAAGGCGGATAAGTAAGTCAAAAGATAATTACTGAAGTGCGAGTGCGATTGCAAACAAAACTCCAACTTGGGGATTGGTAACAACAGTCACAAAATTGGTGAATCCTTCTGGAATATTACTAAAAACGAGAAGACATCTCAATTAAGGAATAAAGTTGAACATGGGAATGTGTAGGAGAGTCAGCTTACTGAAGAGCCAGGGCAATTGCAACTTGAAAGCCCAAGTTTCGGAGTGGAATGACATCCTGAGGTATAACCGTAGGTTGTGTCTCGTCTTCTTTTTTGCCACCAATATTCATTTCTTCATCGGTGTTTGTGCTAGAGACTTCGGGCTCCTGGGATTTCCATTGAATACGATCGAGAACCTTCCTACCGAGAATAAGTAACACTATTGTCGCGGAAAATATCGCAGTAACTACGAGAGTAGTGTAGTTTGGGTTAATATTTGTGGTGCCAAACTCGCTAATTGCGGTCGAGTAAATGTCATCTATTGTGAGAAACGTTAGCACCCCTGCGGCAAACGAGAGTGAGCTTGCGAGAAAGCCTTTCGAATGTGTAATGCGAAAATCTCTTAATCCGGGAATATATGGAAACAGGAGGTCAAGGAATGGTATAAAGGAACCTAACGCGGAGGCGCCTACTGCCATGGCGGTGAGACCAAACCCAAGTTTAATGTTATTTGAACTTGTGGTATCGCTATTACTGCCATTACTGCTATCATCACCGGCAACATTGTTTGCCAAGGCAAATATGAACACAATTAGCAAGAAGAATTTTACTTTCATTTTGTGATAAACGGCAACAAAAAATGAAGCAAATATGTAACGGAATGTACAGAATGTTTGAATATATACTGCAAGTGGAATATGTGCATATTAAAATAAATAATTTAAGTGAAAATAAGAACTACTTCTCGAATTTCAGAGTTGTGTAATTTCGTGATTGTTTTTTCTTCTGTGAACTCAGTTAAGTAACGTGACACAGTAAATCTCAAACATTAATAAGGTTCGCAGTTTATGTAATACTTAATCGCCATTCCGTCCAGATGAACTCTATTGAGTGCTCGAATAAAGTTATCTCTGATATCCTTCCAAAAAAAGATAAAGCAAAATAAAACAGATTAGATAAATGAAATTCCTTCGAATAACGATTCAACTCATTTATTTCTAATTGCTTGCAACGATGTTTGAAATCCCGTTTAGCCAACCCTTAATTTGCAGTAAACAATGCAATATCGTATGATTCTTTATGGAATTCGAGCGGCTTACCCTTCCAAATTGGGAATCGATCGGGTCGGCAAAAGATTATTCTTAAATAATGTTTATGTTGTAATATGTTACCTACTGGGTGGACAAAAGTCTGCGTCCAAATGATTGGCGTATAGTATAGCGGATGCTACCAAATTTGGCGCAATACGAGTTTTATTTTATTTATTAAAGTAAATGCTATATATCTATATACAGTATTTTCATAAAAAATTTTTATTATTATTAATAATATTATTAAACTTATAATTATAATCAATATAAGCTTGTTTATATTTCAAAAACTAATATATTTTATATTGATTAATCATTTATAATAAATATTATACTAAAACATCAGATAGCTATCAATTAACAGATTACAGTCATCTTCGCAAGGTGTAAAACTTGCCATCAGTAAAACTAGTAAACAGATTCCAAATATATACAAACCTAGTATATACTTGGACCCACTGTCAACTACTGAAACACTCATTAGAAGAAAGATACAAGTCCCAAACAGAATGATCCAAAAGCTATTACAAATAGCTTGATAACTAACAACAGAGGGCAACCTCCATTTTTATACAGATGACTCTTTCACAAGATGCAACACTAAAAGCAGGATGGAAATCAGATGGGTGGTCCTTTCTAAGTCAGGCAATAAAATCATGACCTTTCAAGTAGAAACCCAGGACACCTCTTTCTTGACTAGAGCAGAACTGATAGCAATCCTTACAGCAATTAGCACAGTTAGTTCTAATAAAAAAATTAAGATTTTCATAGATAGCCAAGATATAATCAATACAATAGACAAAGTAACACAAAAGGATCAAACCAAAAATCAGAAGCTAGAAAGGTCAAACAAGCTTCTAGTCAGTACAATCCAAGAAATTATAATAATACAACAAATCAAAGGAAATAAACAGGTAGATAAATTAGCAACCATCACACTTGTGGATAAATTCAAAGATATCGTAAAGATTCAGGAGTTATAGTTCATAAGCAGCAACATAATACTGAGATGGGATCAGTCCTTCGTAGACTTGTCCTTCAAAACATTAGGAAGAACTCTCCTAAAGACTAAATAAACTAGCAAGTGGAAGATACTACAATAAAACCAAACATGGCTCACAGGACCAAAAGCCAAGAAAATAAATTGGGAGATGACCATGCAGACCCTGGTGCCATCCAAGATCACATCTCTCCAAACTAGCCAAGAAAACCATAGAGACAGAACATTTCGATGGAAAATATGATTCAATGAACTCCCTATACTAGCAAACATAAGCATACAGAAATTACAGATATACAAGTTGGTGACATGCATAATTTGTAGAAGACATGAAGAAAAGTATGTACATTCTTTTACCTGTGGATCAAATAGAACAAGGTTATTGGAAAAGTTTACAGCACTCCTGGTATGTGAGTGTGCAGCAAGGGTCAATAGCAACAAACAGTTACAATTCATTCAGAGTAGATGAAAACAATTCATAAAATCAAGTACAAGAATAGGAAGCCAGGTGGGCTTTACGGACCTAATCAGAGGAGTCATAACTCATAAAATAGTTCAGATAGCAGGAAAAATTACAAGGGATGAGAAGGAGATCAAGATAGTAGTGAAGAAAGTAATAGAACAACTCTGATAAGAGAAAAGGAAAATCTAGAAGTTAAGATGCAAACTAATAGTAGAGTGGAAAAAATACAAGACATATTCAGAAAAATAAAACAAGAATGGACAAGGTACAATGTCAAAACACTGGATAAAAGGATGCTGCAGAATAAGAGGAGAAAACAAAAGATGATAGAAAACCTGTATATAGAACTAATGAATTACAATATGAGAAATATACTTCAAAACAGCTTTAATATCAACTCTTTCTTCTATATAAATCTTAGTGTTAATGGAGTTATGACACACTAACATTCACCTTTGAGGTGAACTGAAGCAAGTTACAGGGTTCACAATATACTGAGTCATTAGTTTTTTTCCTATTATAAATGTATTTTCTCGCAATTAAATTTGTATATATAAAATGATATTAATAATTAAATAAAAATTATATGGTATGACTTCGCCAGCTCAAAATAATAATAATAATAATAATAATAATAAATATTATATTATTTAAAAATTTAAAATTAAATTGAGATAAATAAAATTTTCTAGAAAAATATAAAAGTAGAAACTCTAAAAAAATCAAAACAACTAATAAAAAAAAAATAAATTTTTCTATCAGAACAAATCTTTATAAATTTTGTTTTAAAAATAAATTAATTTTATTTTTTAAAAACTTTTTTATTATTGATAATTTATATATTTTTTGATTTTTCTTAATTATCAAAAGTCAAGTTTTAATTAAAGTGATTTGTAAAAAAAAAAAGAAAAAAGAAAATATAATAATAGCTTTTAAAAATATTTTCAAACTATTTTAAAGATAATAGCAAAATTCTATTAATCAAAAAGTTTAAAAATTTTTGATAAATATTTTTTTTTGCATATAATTAAAGAATTAATAAAAATGTTTTTTATTTAAAAAAATATTTTAATTTTTAAATAATTAAAATAATTATTTAAATAGTAATATATTAATTTTTTTATTTTAGTTTTTTTTTTTAATCTGCAGTCAAGTCAGTATAGCTTGTCTTTATTGTATATATAAAAGATATTTATAAAATGTTTTGACTTTCACATATTAACTCACCTGCTGTTAAAAAACTATTTCTCTAAATACAACTTAGGAAATAATATTTTACTCCTTTACTAACTTGGATAAATCCTTTAATCAATAAAATCATTGCCTATAAGTCATTACAGTAGATCATCCTAAATTCCAATTGCAGTTAAAAACCAAATCATTTCTTTTCATGACAAACCCAATTATTGATAATTTCCATATACTTCATTCCCTCCTTTCTTTCAAAAACTTCTTACTTCAGATCTTTTGCAAATATAAGTTCTTCTTTCTGTTCTTGTATAATTTATGTGATAAATCTATATTCAGGTCTTTTGATTTTTTTGTTCTTTTTAATAATATTCTACTTCTTTTCCATTTTATTACTTGTTTACAGTGGCTGTTTCATATGTTCTCCTTAAAATTTTTCCTCATTTTATAACAAAGCTTATCGATTATGCTCTGTATAACTATCAGAGAAATTTTGAATTATGAACTGATAGACTTTTATGTCTTAACTGTAATATTACAATCCAAGAATATTAAAACTGTTGTGTTTTGAAAAGCTGTATATATTGTAGTTAGGATAACCAGTATTTCTGTCCTACTTGCCGATGATCATATTGATACTCCTGTTGAGAATTGCTTTACAACTTTGTTATATTATATTAAAACCTAGGCCAAATCCATTTCAAGTTTACTATCTTTTATTCTTTTTTTATAAGAACCATCTGTATAGAAAGTAAACTGATTGGCTGTATACCTTCTATTATATTTTAGAATACCTATAAGTTTATCTATATATTCTTCTTATCGGATGGTTTATTTTATTAATGTGGCTTCCCAATTTTCTATCTGGATTTCCACTTCAGATCTAGACATTAGTGAAGTTATTGCTTATTGCTTTATAGCTATTAGTCAATCTGTAGAGTTGCTTGGCAGGAGGACTTATTTTCCTTTTCTTAAATTTTTATATTTGTTTAGCTATGGAAGAAGATAAACTTGTGATATGCCTATTTATATTACTTGGAATGATATATCTGGTTGAAGTAGAGTATAGTTCCTAATAGAATTATATACTAACTAATATTTATCAAACTGGATTTTGTTATTTAAGAATGATGTCTTTCCCAATATGTTAGTTGAAGAACTAGAACAGGCTGTTCAGTATGTTTTCCTTTTATCTAAATATACTGTAAAAGCTTTAGATTTAATATTGTAACCTGTCCAGTCTAGTCTATATAATAACTTCCTTAGGAGATCATGCTTCTCTGTTACTTTTTCATGGACCTTTTTGTATCAAGAGGGGATAGAATCTTTGTATTTGTTAAAGAGAATCTGAATTGCTCTCCATTCCTTGAGTGTTATTGTAATTGTATTGATGATTTAATTTAGAAACATGATTTTGTGCTTATAAAGTAAGGGAATGGCTTTTTTGTATTCTCTATCATTTTGTAGTATTGACTTAATAGATAAAATACCTTCCTAATAATTAAAGATTTTCTTTAATCTTCAGCTTTGAAAAGTAATTAGTAGGTCTTTGATCAGGACCAATATTACAGTTGCAAGGTTTTCTTTAATTATATTGTATGAGTCTACAGGATTATCTAAGATATTTTTAGGTTCCCAGCTTTTAATCTGACTCTGTTTTAATCAGATTATAGTAATTAAACTAAAGGTTTCACTATTGTTGTATTGATAGAATAGCACTAATATATGACTTTCCAATTATATTTCTCAGATGTTTTTGAGACTATATACTGTATTTTTTTGTTATGGATGCAACTATTTGATATTGTTTCACAGATTAATGTTTTGTTCTTGAAAATCTTCCTGAACATAGCTATGAGTTCATTACATGTCAAT